GTGGCAGTACTATTAAGAGTGACATGGCGCTATCGTTGTCGTAGGTGCTGGCAATGGTGCTATCAACAGGACTTTATACATCTGAATTTGTCGAGTTGATAAAGGATGCTCCTGCTGTGGTATGTTGCCGTTGTAGCCCATCACAGAAGTCAGAGGTGGTCCGTGCTATCAAGAAGTATGCTCCTCTAATCCCGCTCTATCCCAGCCATCTGGCTCGGTCATTATCAGGTATGATAACGGCCAACGAACTCTCGCTATCGGCGATGGAGGCAACGATGTTGGTAGGGTTGATTGCCTGGCTCTATCTCTGGTGATTATTCCATAACAAGGTATGATACAAGCAGCGGATGTCGGGGTGGGTATCGTTGGGAAGGAAGGCATGCAGGCCAGTCTTGCAGCCGATTTCAGTATCCTTGAATTCCGGTGAGTTAGTCGGGTACAGCCAGCTCTCTGTATCGTCATATGCTCGGTTGTTGTCTCAGATCCCTGCATCGGCTCCTACTGTGGCATGGACGTAACTGCTATCTACAGTCCGCCCGAATGTCCCTATTCGTCATCCATCGTGGTTTGGTGATTGCTGTTATGCAAGTTATATTCTCTGCTATGTTCTACTTCATAGCATTGCCGTTGTTCCAAGGTTGGCTGATGATTGGATACAGCACGTAGGGGAGGGATAGCATTGGCGTCACCAATCTCGGTGATTATATCGTGTTAGATACTACACCACTGCTCCCGTGTTCTCACTGTGCCTCTATACTGACCTCGAAGACACGGTCGTGTACCAGTACCCGGAGCTCTATGCTATCAGCCGTCGTGGCCGGCAGATGTCTCTCAAAGCTTTTCTTGGTTGGGTATGGAAGTCCGTTTATCAGGGTTCTGCTATCATGGTGCTAACTGTTATCCTCTTTGGTAACGAGCTCATAACAAGCTCGCTTGTTGCCGTTGCTTTCACGTCACTGGTCATCAGCGAGCTGCTCAATGTTGCTTCGGAGGTCAGTATTGCGACGA